GGGGAGTAATTAAGAAAAAATGGGAAAAACGGAAAAAGGAAAATAAGGAATGAGGTTAACCACAAGAAAGAAAAAAAATACTGGAACCAGGAACAGGGAAAAGAAAAAAAGCTGAAAACTAGAATCTGGGAAGGCAAGAATAAAGAATAATAGTAAAAAGGACAAAAGTCAGAATAATAATAGTAGCTTTAAAACAGTGAAAAACAAAAAAAAAAAAAAAAAGAAAATCTGGACAGGGCAGGGCAAGGCACCTAGGCTTATCAGAGCACACATTCTGGGATGGAATTCCTGCCAGCTTAGAAGGTGGGTGGGAGTGAGAGATGGTCACACCTCCATTCACCAAGAGGGTGTGAGATATAAGGATAATCAGGGGAATGTTGCACCTTTCCAGTAGTCCATGTGTCTGGAATGTCCTTGCTGTTCCCAGCAAGTAGAGCCTGTTCTTAAGTCCCTGGAATCTGGGACAACACTGTTGCTTTAAATATCCAAAATGGTCAAGCTGCTTGTAAACATTCAAAAGGGCTGCACCCTCCAGAGAGGCAAAAGTCCACAGCTCAGCCCACCTTTATCTTCGCTGATTCCCCTTTCATTCCCCAGTCACCAGAACAGTCCTCAGTGCAGACCTGTGCTAGCAGGGTTGATTTTTAGGTTAATTCTTAGGTCCTACCACCACTCGGCAATATCCAAGTTGTCTGTGTCATCAGGATCACTGCCAGACCGCAGCTCCGTATGTCTCCTTTTTTGGTATTTCCATGCAAATTCTTCTGCTAGTTGGAGTTTAGTCCACTTTTATATTCTTCCCTTCAAAGCTCAGGGGTCAAGGATTATCTTCTGTATCTGTGTTAAATGGTTCCCCTTTTCTTTGTTGAAGAGGGTCTGTGCAGTCTCTCTGCCTGTTCCGCCTTCTTACCGGAACTAATTCTCCATATTCAAATTTTTATGTGAACATATTTTCAATTCTCTTGGGTAAATAACTAGAAGTAGAATTGCTGGGTCATAGGGGCTCTGGTGGCATAGTGCCTGAGGCATGAGACTGCTAATCAGAAGGCTGGCAGTTCAAACCCACCAGCCACTCCTCAGAAGGAAGGCTGGGCAATCTACTTCCATAGTGATACTGCCTCAGAAACCCAAGAAGGGTTTGCTATTAGTCAGATCCAATTTGATGGCAGTGTTTTTTATAGTAACTTTATGTTTATCCCCCTGAGACACCACCAAACTCTTTTCCACAGTTGTTATACCAGCAGTGTATCATCAGGGCTCCAATTTCTCCATATCCTCATAAACTCTCATTATTATTAATCTTTTTGATTATAGCTACCCTAGTGCATGTGAAGTGGTTGTGCTAGCAGTTTTTCTCTTATAATGAATTATTCGTAGAAATAAATTTATCGCATTGTGATACTAATTACTTATAAATCACTCACAATTACAGTAAAATCCTACTTTAATGTGTTAAGTAGAGTTTAAGACTTTCAATTATGTAGAATGCAAGGTTAATAAAGTGATTTAGATAAGCTTTGGCATTCAGCAGACTGGAAATTCCTGAGATCCAACTGCAGATCCTAAACCATTCTATCTTCGCTACAAACTTGTTTCATTTGGTGGTAATGGTCCTTTATGGCTTCAACATTAGTATGGACAACTCTGGAATCTATGGCTTGCTAGAATTCTGAGGACACAGGTTGTGATTCCAGGATTCTCCAAGTTACATGACTTGTGTTAGCCTTGTTTGGTGGTGGGGCTGAGAGAATACCAAAGACATGCCTTTTCCCTAAGCAGGTTCCTCACTCCTCCCTCAATGGGTAAGAACTTTAGCCTTCTCCCATTAGAGAATGCAGACCCTATTATATTCCACATGCATTATTACAGTTTTATTGTATTTACATAATTTAGTGTACAAGACAGACATGGTCCCATTTAATTTCTTGTTAATTCTTATGGGACAATTATACTAAAAAAAAAAAAAAAAAAGGTCTAACACGGTTTATTAGTTTAAGTACAAGTTTAAGGTCAGCCCTGAAGTGATAAATATCTAAAGACTTGATCATATAATAAGGAAAGAGAGTTAGGAAAAAAAGTTTTCCTAAAAAGTTGTTTGTAGTCCTGTAGAGATTAAGAGTAGTAACTTAAAATCCCTCAAAAGCCAGAATCATGTAAAAAGAAAATATGTATTTTAAAGTCAGACCTCTTTTCCCTGAAATAATTAACAGGGGAACACTGCTTAAATGATAGCTCAACTATTCTATTCTAGATCAGTATTCTTAATGTTTTGTCTTTGAATAGAGCAAAGTCTCCTAATGAATGTTGAGAATAGGTTGTGGGTGTGCTCCATCTTAGCTCTTGGAATGGGAGAGTGGGGTATTGGGCAGCTGTCAGGTAGTAGACTAGGGTCTCTGGCCACAAGCTCTGTTCATTCATTTAGTGTAGTATTCAAATATTTTCTATGGGAAAATGACTGGGACTTCTAAACCTAAGGTCTTCATATCCATAAGAAGTCCACACATAGAGAGGGAGAAAGGTTTGTCTGTGAATTTCCAATGACATTTCATTTAATTATGAACGTAAGAAACAAAACTACAGTAGTATTAGAATTATCTGCTGCTCTGTCATCCACAGAAATAAAGTGTTTTCAATTCAAGTTATAGTTGGTAAAGATATCCTACCCCAAATTTTTATACTCATTACTTCTTTGAAATTTCAGTAATTATTAGATCTGCTGCTATAATACACATGAGTCCCGTTTTTCTGTATAGAGACATTTTTGTAGTATAGCTGGTCAACTAGCAGGCAATTTTGCATCTATCAAATGGTATTAAATTCAGTCACCAAATGGTAAAGTCACTGTCAGGCATTGAAGTTTCTTTCTTCCTTTCTGTTGTTGTTGTTGTTAGATGTCATCGAGTTGGCTCTGACTCACAGCAACTCTATGTGCCAGCCCACAATTTTTGCTATATTTGAGCCCATCATTGCAGCCACTGTATCAATTCATCTTGTTGAGGGCCTTCTCCTTTTTCATTGATGCTCCATTTTACTAACCACAGTAGGTATCGTTCTTCAGGGAATGGTCCCTTTTGACAACATAACCAAAGTAGGTGAGATGAAGTCTGGCCATTCTTGCTTCCAAGGAGCATTCCAGCTGCACTTCTTCCAGGACAGATTTGTTAGTTTTTCTGGCAATGCATGTTACTTTTAGTATTTATTGCTAACACCGCAACTCAAAAGCATCAACTCTTCTTTGGTCTTCCTTATTCATTGTCCAACTTTCACATGCGCATGAGGCAACTGAAAACACTATGGCTTGGGTTAGGCACATCTCAGTCTTCAAAGAGACATCTTTGCTCTTCAGCACTTAAAGGGGTCTTTTGCAGCATGTTTGCCCAGTGCAAATATATCATCTGATTTCTTGACTGCTGCTTCCATTAGTGTTGACCGTGGAACCAAGTAATATGACATCTTTGACAACTTCAATCTTTTCTCCATTTATTGTGATGCTGCTTATTGGTCCAGTTGTGAGGATTTTTGTTTTATGTTGAGGTGTAATCCATACTGCAGATTGTAGGCTTTAATATTCATCAGTGCTTCAGGTCATCTTCACTTTCAACAAGCAAAGTTGTGTTGTCTGCATACTGCAGGTTGTTAATGAGTCTTCCTCCAATGTGATGCCACACTATTCTTCATATATAGTTCAGCTTCTTGGATTATTTCTCGTTTCTTTCTAAAATTCTAATGTTTGTTATCAATATGTGGAAGAAAAGAGTCATTTTTGTTATTGGTTAAAGTTTTGCAAACTGCACAGTTCAAAGGAGAAGTCTTAACTTCTGTCTGCAGGGTGGCATGGCTTTTTGTAACATGATCGGTGCACAAAATATGTAGCAGATGGGTTCTGATGGTGGAAATAACTACTGAAGTGTGTTATATGAACTTCTAACTGCTAACAAATTGTTCACTGACATGAATCATGTACAGAGTTGCACATTCTGTATCTTGCTTCTTTCTTTGACTTGTTACTCTTTGAAATCCTATGAATTTTATTTTATGCATTTAAAAACATTATCCTGAGATGCAGTTCAGTAAGTCTCACCAGATTTTTTATAAGGGTCCAAGGCACAAAAAGGTTTAAGAACCTGCTTTAGGGACTCAACCATGGATGAATCAAAGAAACTATATACAAGATTTTGTTTGTATATGAGCATGTCTATTTCTGTGAAGAAAGACTGTAACTTACATCATATTTTCAGAAGTCCTTAATTTTTCCGAAAGATTAACATAAAATAACCCCGCCCCCCTTGCAAAAAAACCCTCAAAAATCAAACTCACTGCCATTTAGTTGATTCGACTCATAGCGACCCCTCCTTGGGTCTCCGAAGCAGTATCTCTACGAAAGTAGTAGATTGCCTAATCTTCCTTCTGAGAAGTGGCTGGTGGGTTTGAACCACCAGCCTTCTGGTTAGCAGTCAAATGCCTTAGGCACTAAGCCACCAGAGCTCCCTTAACATAAAATAGGTATTACTTTGTCAATCCAAGTAAAATGACTTTTATGATTTCTATACATAACTAAATAGATTTCTTCTGTAATTTCATGTCAAAATGAACCAATGGAAACCAAACCCTAAGGCAGACCTATAAGGACCAATAAACAGCCTTTGCATTTTGCATTTTAATCCTAAGTAGGCGGTACCAAACAACCATTCCAAAATTTGGAACCCAAGTACCCTACTGGGAATTTACTGCTGTAGAGCTTCAAATTCTACAAACAATAACAAGAAACTAATTATTAGAGACTTTTATGTATCAAAAAAATACTCAACATTTATTGTAATATGGGAGCAGCTATCTTAAAATAGACTTAAAAATTCTTCACCTAATTGTGAACACACAAGATAAAATCAAAACATTTCCCAAAATGGTTCTAAATAAAACCCATTAATAAAAAACTATAGGGCATTTCGAGCTACTGACAGACAGTTGTTATTTTTAGCATAAATGTAAAAATTTCCTACCCTTTCAATACTATGTTGCAAACGTAGTTTCATCCTCACAACTTCCTGCTGCCGAAAAAGTTCCTTAAGTGGATCTGACAGTGAAGGTGGTGGTGTAATCTAATTAAAAAAATGTATTGTTTAAAATATTAGGTTTTATTTGCAAAAGTGGTTATTCTTATAAAATTAAACTTTTCATGCACAACTGAATAAAATAATAAATTCTGATAATTTGTGAATTAAACAATACAGTGAGAATTCATATAACTGGTTACTGCTCAGGCAATTTTAACTGTTTAAAACACAGCAGAGAATTCCACGAAGCTTACACATATTTTGATTCTTAGATCACAGCATACTTGAATAACAAAGTGACTTATTACAGATGGACATGTTTTAGAGCATTAGTAAATAATAGCTCAGACAAGGAGGGAGTCACAAAAATATGAAAATCTAATCTAAGTAAGAGTAAACAGTCTTAAGTATTATGGTAGTGCAAACATATCATACAGTAAGTAAAGTTTCTAGACATGATAAAAATCAAACACTAATGCCCCAAGTTTTACATTTAGTAAATTAAATCCTTAAAAAACAAAACAGATGAAACTACCTCTTAACAGAGCTATGAGTCCTTGATAAAAATTATCATCTGTTAAATATTTACATTAATAGTTTTCAACTTGAATTCATGTTAAAAAAAGAAAACAAAAAACCTCACTGCCATCAAATTGATTCTGACTCACAGCAACCTTGGGTTTCTAAGGCAGTAAATCTTTACGGAAGTAGATTGCCCCATCTTCCTTCTGCGGAGTAGCTGGTGGGTTTGAACTGCTAACTATGGTTAGCAGTCATATGCCTTAGGCACTGTGCCACCAAAGCTCTTCTGAATTCATGTAGACAATTCTTTGTGTAATAACTTGTTTATTATATTACTTTGTGTAGCCATACTCCCAAAAGCTTACAGGTCATACCTAATTTGATATCATAGTGTACAGTGCTTTCTGGTACATGATGGAGATTAAATAAAATGACTTAATCTGTGCATACACTCTCTTGTTAATACAGAGAGACAATCGTGGCAATTACTCTCTGTGACCCACTGAATGTTTTCCCTCAACCTTTTGAATTATCTATTATTTTTTCCTCTCATTCATGCTTATAAATGTTGTTACTGTATTAGGACAAAGACAGCAGCTAACAAGAGCTCTCAGTAGGTTTTGGCACCATGTAACAACTGAGCTGACTCTTCTGACAGTTCTAACTGCAAACTCTATAGGAACGTGGGGCCACTAGATATTATGGCTTCCTGATGTGGTACCACAGGAATTATACATCATCATCTATGAAGAACTCTTGCTAAACAATCAAACCTGGATTTAATCAAGACTAGGAGGGGCACAGGGGGAGGGTTACTGGGCAGGGAGGGTAGGAGACTGGATTAGGGTTGGGCATGGTAAATGGGGAATGAAACTAAATGTATATGTAATGTTGAATGTAAAACAAACTCTTAAAATAAAAATAAAGACTAGACTTAGACCTAACTTTATATGAATTATGGAGACTGAAAAACATATTAAATGTCAAACCACGTTAAATGTCACCATAAAGATCCAACCTGAATCCAGAATGTGGAAAATCCTATAGGACAAATAACTTATTGAAGCTAATCATTTTCTAGGCCCTTAATTGCATGAATACATTTGTCTAATCTCTGCATCCTGTGAACTCTTCAAATTAACAAGAGTTGTGGAGAGTTTGGTATTAGTTTCACAAAATCATACAAGGATCACAGAGAAAGATGATCTACTCATTTGAGGTTGGGGGTGTCAGAGAAAACTTCCTTGAGAGAGCAGTGTCTAGGCAGCATCTAGAAAGAAGGGCCAGAGCAAAAATGAGTTGTTGTGGAGGAAAAAGAGGGAAAGGAGGTAACTCCCAGAAGAGAGGATGGCATGGTGAATGAAATAAACAGTATGGTATCCCTAGGCAACTATAAGCAGTTTTGAGTTCCTCCAATTTGAGGAAAGGAATGGTGGGATATGAGGATGGAAAGATCAGCAAGGGTACAAAAATGACAAGCTTTATATATCAGGTTACAAAGGTTGTATTGTACTCTACAAATCAGCTCTTCCTGAAGTATGTTCTACTGATCACTGGTCCCTCAAGATGACTTACAGGCAATGGTTCTAAGAACAAGTCAGTCTGGTAAATATTGTATACATGTGCTTATTAACAGTTAAAACATTAAAGGTTCTGAGAAGTCCTGCAGTGGAATAAATCTATGTATTTATTGTGGTTATATAAACAACCCATCACACATACACTCAACAGTTCCTAAACGTATAACAAGATCGGTTACATACTTCATATTGTGCCGCCATTCTATTTCTACCCATACTATTTCCTTACCATTATGCTAGACTCTCTGCCTCAAGTTTTCACCTGTGATTTAGATGAACAGTTCATGTAACAGTGCAATGTGTAAGGCAAACATTCATTATTGAGCTAAACTCTTGTTTAATAATCACTTCATGAAATAGTTTTTGTTTAAAGATTGTTCAAAGTTTAAAGATTATTTCTAAATAATAGATTCAAGCATTCCCTCAGTCTCAATGGATACAGTAAGTCTAGTTCTCTTATGAATTTCTGTTCCATGATTTTCCTTCCTCCTTTTGATCAGGATTTATCTGTTGGGTCCTTAATAAAAATGTCAAGTAATGGTAGCCAGGCATCATCCATTTCTTCTGGTATCATGACAAAGGAGATAGTAGGTTCCTGAGGGCAAAACCTATTTATTTTTAGTGTTTCCTAAACTTACTTGACCATAAATGCTTCTCCAACTCCCTACATGGAACTTAATGAACATTCATTCTATGGAAGAAATTTTACATAGAACACACTAGTATACATTTTTAATGTAATTTTAATGTAACGGAGAACCACTGAAAAGACCTTACAAGCTCACTGTCGTGTCTGTACAGAGAACAGAGGGACAAGACTACAAGTAAGGAATTAAGGAGGCAGATAACTATCGTATTGGTGCGAGATGGAGGAGGAGGTAGATGAGGGAATGGATTCTAAAAATACTGGTGACTGGATGAATAAGAGGAATGGAAAAGAGGAAGCAGCCAAGGAGGACTTTAAATTTTTAGTGTGAGGACTGCATAGCTGGTAAATAGAAAGACTAGACAAAGGGAAGATGAGAAAGACAAGCAGTTTTTGGTTAAGTTCAGTGAGGATATAGTGAAATTTGTAGAGCTTATGGGCAGATTGTTGTTGTTGTTAAGTGCCGTCGAGTCATTTCCGACTCATAGCGACCCCATGCACAGCAGAACAAAACACTGCCTGATCCCGTGCTAGCCCCACAATCCCTGCTATACTTGAGCCCATCACCGCAGCCACCGTATCAATCCATCTCGTTGAAGGCCTCCCCCTCTTTCGTTGACCCTCCACCCTACTAAGCATGACATCCTTCTCCAGGGAATGGTCCCTTCTGACAACATGACCAAAATAGGTGAGACGAAGTCTGGCCATTCTTGCTTCCAAGGAGCATTCTGC